TTCCCCCGCCCCCAACCCTGGCGCCGCAGCTGCCGCGTTGCCTGTTACGCTCGTTATTGCGCGCTGCAGATTAGTTACGTCGCCGGGGTCGGGAGATTTGTTTGATTTGGCGAGTTAATATAGCGCCGGCCGGCAGCTGGCGACGGCTGGAGGAGCGTCCGTCCGCCCAACCGCCCGTCATCCCGCCTAGCCCCTCTTCCCACTGCCCGCTGCCCATCTCCCACCGCCCACCACCCAGCGTGCCCACTGGCCTTTGCCCTTTGGACGCCCGCTGACAAGCAGCCCGTCCCCGCGTCTCAGGTACCCTAACGGCGGGCGTCGCGCACCTGAGTCTCCAGTGGCTGCACCTCGACGCAGAAGCAGCGCATGCAACTTCAGGATATGAAGGCTTGGAATGCTTTATTGTTTCCGTCATTTCAAAATGATTAATTCAAATTCGTTCTTAAATATATTAAAATCCGATCATGCATTGATTGCGTCGTTACAAGACAATTCATTGCAATAGGAAGGTCTCTATTAATTGGAAGGTATCCACATTTCTTACATAAAGACATTTTTAGTAATGATTCACTTTGTAGTTTTAGTACACCGGAATTTTATGCAATTTACTTCAAATGGTTTTCCGGACTTTTTTTATTAAAGAAATGCAAACAATTGAGACATACTGCCATCTCCTGTATCACACAACAACAGTATTTTTTATATACGACAATGATGCATGATCATCATGCAGAATGAAATCTACGCTTTTTCAACGTATGAGGTATTGTTCTTCACGTGGTCATCCATCTCCAGATGGGAAAAATCATAGTTTAAATCTCAAAATCTCCCTTTTTATTACTGTATTATATATTTCAATAGATATTACGTTAGTACTACCAAATGTAATGAGTGATACTTCATAAACGTTGCCCGGTACGAGTCAACGGAAATGAAACACGGTTTTCTATGGGGGCTCCTCATACACCTACGAAGATGATCAAAAGAGGCTCACTCCGTTTACTACGCAGAATGGTGTCGTCCGATTGTCTTTCGAAGCGTACCTCCCGTGAAGGTTCAGTCGTGGTCCGACGTTTTTCAAATGACACCCAAGGGAAATCGGAGCAAGTATCGACCCGGGCCAAGAACACTGAATTCAAACTCAAGAACTGCTACCCCGAAGAAAGCTGCATGGGCCAAAATCCTTTCCTGATTTTAATCGAAAGGTATTGAAAAAGAGTACCATGCATTTAGATTCTAGGATCCTATTTACTTGCTATTACAGTTCGCTTCCATGAAATGGAAGAAAACCTTTAATAAAATTAACAACGTCTGGATAGTGTAAAAATAATGCAAAATATTTAAAATTTTAAATACAATTATGATATGATACAACCCTACTGACAAAAACCTGCTAAAAATTAATATTCTTCGAAGTATATTATTTCTGTGAATGTTTTAAATTGACATATAAAAATAATTCACCAGATATTTTTAAAGCATTTACATTTTTTAAAATACAGACCATTGTGGAATATTTGCAATTTATTCTTCAAAACTTCACTGATTTAGATATTTTTCTCATTTAAA